CGGGAAAAATTCGCTCGGGTGACGGGATATGCCTGGACAGGAGCAGCGGCCGGAGCGGTCAGACCGTATCTTGGCGCAGGGAGACGTCCCGGGACCCGCGAGCGTCATGGACAGTACCGCCAGGGTCGTGAGTGTGAGTTATAAGCAATGGGGTATCGAATTTAAGCTCAAGGACTTTTATCTTGCTATAGCGAGGCTGCTTGAGCTTGGGGCAACCGAATGCCCAGTGGATGCCATGCATCCGGGAATATGGGAAGAGTGCACAGCCACGCTGGCCGGGGAAACGAAATCCTCAGGCAGTGGCAAGAGCGTTAAGGCATGGGGCAAAGTAGAAAAAGCCCCGCGCAGGGCAATAGAAAAGCAAGAGACGCGGAGTGCAGCGCGTACGTGTTTATTAGTTAGACCCGGGCTCGGGGCGGTAGCGGAAGCACAGACCGTCCCTGAAGACGGTCTGCCCGGGAGCGGAGACCCGGGGGGGCCCGGCGCGTCCCCCCCATTCCCCAGATCAGAGCCCAACCCCCGCCACGGAAGCCCCCCGAAAAACCCCCGCCTCGAAAAACCCCCGAAAAACCCCTGCCGCAAAAAACCCCCGAGAAACCGCAGCTTCCCCGCCCGTCCCGCCGCCGGTCCGCGACCCGATGTCGGAGGCGCAGCAGCGCGCGGAGTGCTTCTGGCAGGAGCTGGCAGGAGAAGCCAGAGACGCGGAAGCCGCGGCTCGGGTGGAGATCCCAGCCGCGCGGCCAAGTTACCCCTTTGAAAATGGCGCTGGGCGCCGAGGAGGGAGGCGGGGCGCGAGAGATCTCGGCGCGAAAACCCGGGAAGTGCGCGATTTCAGGAATGCGCATGCGCGGGAGAAAGAGGCGGAGAGCGGCAGAGGGCAGAGAGCCAATCGGCAGCCGCGCCGGGCGCGGCTACCATATAAGGGAGAAACCACCCCCTGCGGGAGGCGCGGCAAGCCGGGGGGGCGGGAGTGGCGCCACCCCCGCGGGGAGGAGCGAGCTCGGAGCCGAACAAAACGGCACCGAGCCCCGGAAGTACGCTGGCATTCGACTTCCGGCTCGGAACCCGGCAGCAGCTCCGCCGGCTCGGAGGAGCCGGCGGGAGCCGCCCAGAACTCCGAGACGGAGAGAACAAAGCCAACGCGATTCAAGACAAAACCAAGTAAAGTTCTAAGCCGCACCAAAAAGCGGTCACAATACGAACCAACCCAGTTTACCAGCTGGGGAAAAATATCCCTTTGGGGCTGCGGGAGAAAAGGGCATCTCGCCAAGGAATGCGGGTCCCAGCCCCAGGGGAACGGGACGGGGGCGGGCAGCCCTCATACCCCATACCCCCACAGGAAGCAGCCAACTTCATACCCCCGCCAGCGAGTCTCGCGACACAGCCTACGGCACCCTCGTACCCACCGCCACCGCAAGCAGCGCCTGTGCCGCAGGGTCAGCGAGGGACGCCCCGAAATGGGACCCCTGGGTGGCCCTGGCCATGAAAGTGGGGAGGGAGCCCCCGAGGGTGTGGGGGACGTGCCGCTTCTGTGGCAGTCGGGACCCCCACGTGGTGGGGCTCCAGCTTTGGGCAGACACAAGAGCAGACTGCCCGATGTTTCCGCAGGCACTGTGGCCCCGACACTGGCGGTGCAGGGAGGTCCCCCCAGTGAACGGGGTGGGAGGGCTGTCCCGAGCTTGGAAAAGCACCCAATTGGTAGCTATAACGCTGCATACAAAGAAAGGGCCAGAACGGACAGTTGCAATCCACCCCTACATTTTACAAAACTCTCCACCCCTGATAGGAAGAGACATCCTTACTATGCCAGGAGTCAAGATTACAAATTTATAATAAGGGCCACTGCTGCACACCCACTGCTGCCAATCAAACCTGACCCTCAAAACAAAACTAATGAGAAGCTGTGAGTTCTGTTTGCAGGACACGCTCATGGACCGTCCCCGTGATGCATACACCCCTGCTCCAGAGAGAGATGACAGACCACCAAACCGCCAGACGAAACCCCAGAGTCCCACGGCGGTGAGACCCAGACATGCACAGTGTCTTTATGCGATTTTTCTGTTAGAGGCTTGTGGCCGGGGGGCAAGCTGACCCAGGCCACTACCCTCATCAGCCATTTAAGTGAATCATGCAACATCTTTCAAGTGACAAGGTGTTCAAAGAGATCACCACAGCAAACACCCCATCCTTTGTGTTCCACATAGCCAACCTGTTTAGAAGCTACCTTACTAACCCTAAACGAAACCAAACCGAACCTGACTAACTCCTGTTGGCTTTGCTATGATGTTAAACCCCCTTTTCTACGAAGGCATTGCTTTAGACACCCCTTTCAGTTACTCCACAGCCAGTGCCCCCCACCAGTGCAGATGGGACACTCCCCGCAGAGGAATCACCCTGAGTCAAATCACAGGACAGGGCAGATGTTTTAGAAATGCAACCTTAGCAAAGCAGAAAGGCAACTTCTGCACTAAAGTTGTCAGGCCCAACAGAAAAACTAACAAGTGGGTGATCCCATCTGCATCTGGGATGTGGGTTTGCCAGAGGTCCAGAGTGAGTCCTTGTGTGTTCCTTGCCAAATTTAATGACTCTACCGATTTCTGTGTCCAAGTTCTGATTGTCCCTAGGGTCCTGTATCATTCAGACGAAGAGATATACCATCTTCTCGAGGAACCTGACACACTCCACAAAAGAGAAATTATCACAGGCATAACCATCGCAATGTTGCTTGGCCTGGGAGCAGCTGGCACAGCCACGGGTGTCTCAGCCATCGCAACCCAGCAGCATGGACTCTCTCAGCTGCAAATGACCATCGACGAGGACCTGCAGAGGATCGAGAAATCCATCTCCTATCTAGAGAAATCAGTCTCTTCGCTTTCAGAAGCAGTTTTAAAGAGAGACAGGGAAACCCAACAGAGCTGGTTTGAATCCTGGTTCAATCAATCACCTTAGCTCACCACTTTAATTTCCACCCTGGTAGGTCCACTGGCAATACTGCTTTTAGCTATTACCATAGGACCATGCCTGCTGAACAAACTAGTCTCGTTTGTTCAGGCCCGTCTAGAAAGGGCAAACATTTTGTTCATAGGCCACCAACAAATGCTGTAAACCAAAAACTGCGAACACAGTCAGTCGCTAAAGCCTTCAAGACCTGCCTTGAAAAAATTACTCAGGTTTACCAAGCCACCCTTTTCTTAACAAGTCACAAGTTTGTACCTCACTCCAGTGCCTATGTCTACGACTACCTCATTTTATATATGATAAGGGGAGGGGAGATGTGGTAGATAGGGACAGGAGAACGGAAGATCACGGGATGTGACGGAAAGACAGACCCTTCCCCCTCTCTCTGCCCCACGTTATCTATTAACCCCAGAAGCATGTGACCACACCTGCCCCAGTAGTTTTCCACTCTCGACTAACCCCTGAGACCCCACAACCCCCCTCTGACGTAGCAAAGACCCCCAAGACTATTTAAGCCCACGAGATGAGATAATAAAGGCTTTTCGACCGTCCGCCACACTGGTGTAAGCGTCTTTGTCGATAGCCCGAGCGGTCTGGAGAGGCCAGACCGCCGTGCTGCCCCCGGAACCAGGTCGCCTGTTGTCTTTTGCAAGGCAACACAGGGTGGTGGATTTCTATAGTTAAAACAATTTTGTTACTTCTTGTTATTCTTTTCCTTATAACTATAGCGTTCGGGATCCTACGTTGTTTGATTTTCAAAGCTATAAAATGTCTCATACCTTCTGTCTCAGAAGTCAACCACACAGAGTTGGCAAACCTAAAGCAGTCTGACTTCCCCACCAATTGTAGGTGGTGGGAAAACCTTTTCCTGAGCAGGAATCTAGATAAAGTAACTGTTCTTCCATGTTTGCTCTTTCTCCCCTGGAAACCTTCGAGAATAAATGTTTTGGACTACATCGGGGGTTAGAGCCTCTTTTGGAATCTTTTGCCTTGCCCCTGAAATATTCCCCCAAAGCCTTCTCAGATCTGGGCTAGTCTAGTAAACTCTGGGGGGATGCGGGGGTAATTATTTAATGTAAGGTTTCATTGTGTAGAGTTAATTGATTTGGATATGATGCAGATGGTAATAGAATAAGGGGTGGATAATGTCCTGGGTTTTAAGATGTGGTTTGGGGGTGTGTATTTTATTTCCCATCTGTTAGAGGTGTGGCAGTTCTCTTCTGTTAATTGGGCAGTTTTTCTTTAACTCTTCCACAACCAATCCTCCCTCCAGGGAGATATCTTCTGTTAATGAGCCATTGAGTCTCACTGATAAAATCACATCATCCCACCTGTCTTTTCAAACCAAGACAGTGCTCAGAGCAATGCAGCAGAGGGCCAAGTAAACAACAGAACATCTGGCTAAATGAACATACAAATAAAAGACTCCTGTAAAGACAGGTTGTTGTGGTTTGACATTCCAGGCACCCAGGAGAGTCATTCCCTCATCCTGCCACAGCTGGGCAACGGAGGGAAAAAAATCAGAGGGAAAAAAATCGAATGAACACTTCATGAGTGAGCTAAGAACCAGAAGAAATATTTCAAGGGCAAAACGGGCACAGCTTAAGCTGCAAAGTGAATTTTATTATTAACAGAATCAGAGGAAGATAATGAGACGTAAAATAACCCCTTAGAACACCTTATGACCCCCCCCCTAGCCCCTCCTTCCTTCCCAGCAACAGTGCAGGGAAACAGGGTGTAGGGGTTTTGGTCAGTTCATCAGATTTTCTTCCACTGCTCCAGGAGACAAATCTTTCCCTTGTGAGACCATGAGGTCCCTCCCATGGGAGACAATTCTCCGTGAACTTCTCCAACGTGGTTACACTCTCACAAGCAACAGCCAAACCAGCGCTGCTGCAATGTGAACTCCCTCAATGGGCAGACAGGCCTCCCAAAACTGCTGTGGCATGGGTCACTCTTCCACAGGGTGCAGTCATCCAAGGACAGGCTGCTCTAGCCTGAAAGCAGGTGTTGCCCGTAAAGAGAACACAAAACAACCGAAGTCGTTTTATGCGGTGCTTTATTGAGGGCCCTGGGAGCCTGAGAACTAATGTCCAAAGTCAGAGCCCCCCGAGCTAACAAATCATTGCGTTTATATAGAGTCTATATCAACAGTTGCTTAATTCAACACATATTTGTCAACGTTACACTCCAACAATCATTTATTTACAGATTAGTCCTTGTTTAAATTGAACATTTTTATGATCATAACTTCTCTTCACTCTGTTAGGTAAAAACAATGCATTCCCCCAAGATCTACCTATCCATCTTGTGAATAATGACATGTTCTACCACAGCCTACTCTTGGAATGTATTCTGAGATAAGTTCCTACCTCTCCAGTATTCCGTACTGCCCTTACCTAACAACTGTTTCTAACAACACACAGCCTATGGCCTACTAAAAAATTCTAAGCCTTAGCCAAACTACTTCTACTAAACTTTTGCTAGTCTGAAATGCAACACAGGGACCCTCTCTCTCCACTGGATCTTCCACTGGATCACATCCTCCTCCAGGCGTCCAACCGCTCCTGCATGGGCACCTCTCACCGCGGGCTGCAGGTGGACCCTTATGGGCTTCAGGAGCACAGCTGTTTCACCATGGTCTTCACCAGAGCCTGCAGAGGAATCTGCTCTGGCACCTGTAGTGCCTCCTGCCCCTCCTTCTCCACTGACCTTGGTGTTGCCATGTTTTTTTCTCTCACATGTTCTCACCTCTTCTTCTTTGACTAGAAGAAAAAACCTGTGACTTTGTTTTGATTTTCTTCTTAAATATGTCATCACAGAGGCATCACCAACTTCTCTCCTTGGCCCAGCTTTGGCCAGCGGAATGTTCATCTTCAGCGCAATCAAGGATTGGCTCTGCTGGACATGGTGGAAGCTTCTAGCAGCTTCCCACAGCAGCCATCTTTGTGGCTCCCCTGCTGCCAAAAAACAGGCCATGTCAAACCAATACACACATGAAGAAAACATTTATATTGACATTCGAGGAACAGACTCTCCCTTGAAACATCTCAGCTACAGAGTGCATGTTTATGGACAGAGTTACTATAGAAGCAGCAAGTTTGAAAAGTTTGGTAGAAATTTTTTATTGCATAGGCTCTGACACCAGACTTGTTCTGGGAATACCATTTGGAAGTAAGAGTCTAAAATGGAAGGCTTTTAAAGATCTTTCTATTTCTCAGTACTTGGTAATTTCATAAAACATTCACTGAATAAAAAGAACTTTAGTTTAGCAGTGTACCTGCCAAAACCTCACTTATAAGTGCTTGGCTCCTGACTGTAATCAAGCTTTTTGTTGAGAGTCTCATCCCACCCACTGTGCCTGATGGTCCCCTTTTGTTCTCTTTATCAAATGTTTTTCACTCCATTACAGATCCGGCTTTAAAAAATAGCTTAAAAATTTAGTGAATTTAAACTAAACAAGTCTTAAAAAATAAAACAAACCAAGTTTCTCAGTGACCATACAACCCAAAGATCACATGTAAGCAATTGTTAGTTGGAGGGGAACACCAAACAATGTTTTTATGAAAGCAAAATGTAACATTTAAATCATCTTAGAAGAAGTAGACAGCCATGTGTTTTCATTGATGCCATCCAGATCTGCAGTACTGATGTCATACCAATTTATTGCTATTTATGTTAAAAGGAGATTTAAGAGCTATACCAGGAATATAGCAAAGTATAATTGTGATTTCCAGTATTCATAGAATAAGACATAGCCATATCTAATAACAATAGCAGTTTCTACTGGAAATCTATCACTTATTGTGTAAACATTGTATTTTTGCAATTTATTTGTAATACTTTAATTCCCAATATTATAAAAGGCAAATTTAGTAGCATAAAACACATCCACTTCCACATTTGGCAATAAGAACCTTCTTCATAGACAACCAAATACCTATGAAATGTGGATGAAAAATTAAAACTCTACAATTCTTATAAAGATTTGTAGGGACAGTGCTGGATGCATGTGGGGATGTTTCCCTTCAAAGGACATGCATTCCCCTTAGAACTCTTGATCTTTTTTTACTCTTTTTCACTAGTTTACATATGCATAGAATTTCACAATAGGTTCATGAATATTCATTCTGCTGATTTTGCATGACACAGCTAGTTACACTTGTAGCTAGTTTTTTATCAGAAAGTATGGAAAAAACTCTTGGGTCACCCTGCCCTGTCTGCTTTAAGGTTCGAGGAGCCTCTCTCATTTCTTATCTCTTCAGCTTAGAAATTTGCATTCTTTCTCTTCAGCTGGGGCAGTTTTACTAGTGCTGCAGAGTTACTAGACTAAACAGCATATTTTACTTATGCTAGAAAGCTCAAAGCAGCACATTTAACTTAAATCTAAATGGATTTTTACCCTGTTAAATTTTCACTCAGTTTCACCTAGCAGCACATTTTCAAACATTATTACAAGCATTTCTGGATTAATCTCCCTCCACATACCCTCCATGCTCAAAACACCAGAAATAAAATGCAATACCAATAAAAATGTGTCAAGAAAATAGCCACATTCTTTTCTTTGTAATAAAAAATGAGTACTTTGCCTCAGTCTTAACAGTGCTATACTGTGTCCATCATTTTGGCTTCTTCATCTTTTTGTAGCATTGAATTTAAATTGCTGACACTTCTGTTTATGCAACCTTGTACATCTTTTGCATTCTGCAACAAATGAAGAATTGAAAGCTTAATGTCAATACATACACTTACAGAGAATTAAGTCAAGCTATTTTTTCTGTTAAGATGAGATAATTTTGTAATAAAATATAATTTCTTAAATAAAACCCTAGACAGCATTATCACAATGTGAATATCAAAAGCTTCTTTAAATTTAGCTAGCATACTATGACCTTATTGTGAATTTTCTTAGGGTTCAGTTACCAGATCTTACCAAACAAGTACCTTGAGCAAATGTATTTCAAAGTACTTTAAATTGTGTTTCCTTTCCCAACATCCAGCTTTTAAAAGCTTTTAAAATTTTATTTTCAGATGTGATCATCAATAACACTGAAACCAAACACCCAAGTGTTCCAAGATACAGATAAAAACAAGGGCAAAATATCATAACACTAAATTTTTCTTAGATTTGATTACCTGCATATTCCCATTAATGGAATTAGTAATTTGCAGTTGAAAGCTCATTTCACCTCCTATGATTCAAAGTATATTTAATTCTGGTACCTGAAGAGGTTAATGATGCAGTTTCTATTTAGCACAATTATTCAAGGGCACTGAATTAGTGTATGCCTTTTGACACTATAAATTGTGAGAGCTTTCAGAAACAATCTCTCCCATATTGTTAATAGTGCACACTAGAACTATCAGTGCTCCAAGTATAGAGACCTATTCCTAGATATTAAAAAGTACATAATCTCAAGAGTGTGCCAAAAATTTGTTCCTAATAGAGTTTTTTATATTCATTTTTGGAAATAAAAAGTCTACCTGTGACAAAGACTCCAGTCCTTCTACAATACCAGTATAGACACTGGAATTCTCTACTGACATGGCTTGAAAGCCTTGAGACTGTGAACAGATTCTCACTCTTGATTTGAATGCTTCAAGCTCAGTTTTAAAAGCTTCCAAATAGCCTTCTTCTCTTGCCTGTAAAGAGAGGAGTGAAATATTTTTCATCTTAGCCAGATTTACTTCTAGTTGTAAGCATACATACTGATAAAAAGAAGTCCTGAAGTAATGCATATTATAATCATTGAAGGATAATGGTTTGGAAAAGTCAATAACAATATTAGCAGCAGTCAGCTTAAAAAGAAGATTCAGTGTTGGAATGCAAGCATCTCTGAGTCCATCAGAGAGAGAAATGAATGTAGGGGTTGAATTAAAGCCTTTAGAGAAATTAAGATATATTAAGACACATAGATATGGAGTAGAAGTGTAGGTTTAAGTCAGTAGAAATGTAAGTTATAGTTTTAAGTAAGTAGAAATATATTTTAAGTGCCTTAAGAAACTGTGTTAGCTAGTAAAGGCCCTAAGGCCTAGTTTAAAGTTCGGTAACTTAGTTCCAGACATAACAAAAACATAGCAGAACTTTGCTTGCCTTTCTAGACTAGATAGAACTATATGCGTAAATAGATAGAACTTATATACGTAAATTTTTAGTAAGAAAACAGATAGCACATTTTCCTAAATAGATAATATTATATATGTAGTTATTTGGGTAAGAACTGACACAACTTTCATACTACTTTGGCACACTAGAATCAAGTTCAGAATGGTGTAGAAAGAATGTTTTACAATCGTGTTTTTAGCTGATTGGTTGTTTTATGTATAAAAATCCCCCTGTATTCAGAAGAGGAAAACAACCACAACCACAAGAAGAAGATGAACTACAACAAGAAGAAAGAAGAAAAGGACCGTGGGGCTGTGGTGGCTGCTGCTTCGGCTTGGGACTCTAGGCTAGGGAGCTGTTACTACTGCCTCTGCTTGGGACTCTGTGCTGGGTAGCTGGTGCTGCTGCCTCTGCTCGGGACTCTAGTCCAGAAAGCTTTAGCATGGACTTTTAAACTTAGAATTCTTTGTGTTGCAATGTATCTGAACAACTTAGACTACAGTGTGCACCAGCCATCCCACTTGTAATTGTTCTTATCAGAATTTTGTCAGGGCCCTCTGAAATTAATCACGGTTACTAATACATAAACTGTGCTAAAATAAGAAAGATAAAGCTGAGAAACTGTCGTGGTTTGACATGGAAAAAGAATTTTTCCGGAAGGAAGAGGTCAATTTGGACATTGACCAATTGAAGGTAGACACGCCTCTGAGAACACAGAGGGGTTAAAAGCAGAATTCCCAGGAAAACTTGCTCTCTTGGGTTCCGGTCAGCGGTCAGTGCAGGACTCTCCCCTGACCGGCCACGAGCTGGGTGGGGGAGGGGGAAAGCCATGTGGCCTTCGGAGGTAGGCCCAAGGGTGGAGGGACTGGAACCAGGCTGGCCCCCTGCAGATGGAAGGGTGGAGAAATCTGGGATGTCTCAGTTCCCCCCAGAGTCTCTCTCTCCCAAGAGAGAAAAAGAGACGGCGGTGGTTTTGCCAGCAGTTCACCGCGGGGAAGGAGAAGAGCGGGGGGGCCGCAAGGTGCCCAGACACCTGTGGGAGCTGGAGCCTGGGCAGCAAGCCATCTCTGGGAGTCGGGACTTTTAACCCTTCCTGAGAAATGAAAGCTTTGTGAAATTTTTCTCCTCCTCGGTTTGAAAGAGAGGCAGAGAGACAGCTTGGACCCTGGGATTTTGGAAGGAGAAATTCTAGGTGGGAGGAGATGACGGAGTGGCTTTTGGCTGGACTTTTTCTTGGTAGCCACAGACTGAACTGATCTTCTCCTCCAAGAGAGACTGTATTTTAGGAGGATGCCGGTGAGGCAAAGAGGCCTGCTTCAACTGGGAAAAAGACAGAAGTAGAGCGAACAGAGAAAAGTTAAGGAGGTTTGTGGTGGTGCCCCCTGTCTTCACAGAGGAAGAAGAGAAGAAGATCTCTGTTCGTGGATCCTCGGCCCCAGGGGAAAATGGGGGGGACTGTTGGTCCCAAAAAAATGAAAAACTGAACTGTTGTTTTTTCCCCTCTTGGCAGGGCATCCTTGAAAGGAAAAAAATTCTAAAAAAGCAGTCTGTCCATCCATGCATTGGTGGTGAGAGCACTGTGCATGGAAAGGAGAGGGTCACCACTGGCAAACTTTTTTCTCCGGGCGGTGCCATGTGGTGACATGGAAGCACAGGATGTGGCAGCTGTGTTTCTTGGGGGGTCTGTGGCACAGGAGAGACTCCTCTCTCACTGCAGATGGACTGGGTGTTGATTATCTGGAGGGTAGAAACCTGATTGGGGTCCAGATTGTGTCTCACTGTGGTTTGTTGGAGTTGGGTGGTGGGAGGAGGAATGCTTTGGAAGGTTTTCATTTTGAATTGTGTGTGTTTCTTTCTTTTTTTTCCCTCTTTTATAGTAGCATAATGGTAGTAGCTTAATAAAGTTTTTTTGTTATTAGGCTTGGGCCTGCTTTGCTCTGTTCTCGATCGCATTTCACAGCATTAAGTTGAGAGATTGCATTTTCATGGGGGGCACTGGCATCGTGCCAGTGTCAAACCATGACAGAAACAAAATTCCAAGACCACAAAAATTCAATAATGGGGAGCGGAAAAGCACCTGGACTGTAACCAATCACATAGTCTGAGACGTGCATGCAGAACGTGTGGACAAGACAAAGGCACCAATAAGAAATGCGTGACTAGTGTGTGCAGAGATTTAGAATGTATAAATAACTGCATAATGTAAACAATAAACGGCTTCTGCTTAATCATATTGGTCCATTGTCCAGGAGTCTTGAATTTCCCACACTCTTTGTCTTTGAGACTGATGTATTCATGCAATAAACAACTTTATAACAACCAACAACTGCTCCTGCCTCTTTGAAGACCCCAGACCCAAGAAAAGCTTAATAATTCAGGTATGATGGTTTTTGTTTGTTTGCTTTGTTTTAAAGACAGACTTTGGCATTTTATAAGTATAGGAACTGAGATATTCATTCATCTGAGAACATGTAAGAACAAAACAAACATAATTTTAACCCTTTCTTTATTCTACCTCAGAAGCCAATACCCTTTAGAGAAAAGATACTCATGGCAGCACTAACTTCAAAAGCGAAGCATGAATCAAAGTGGGTGTCAGCTTAGGTCCTTAGGGTAGCATTAAGATCAGCCTGACTTGATTCTTCAGTCTTGTATAACTTAAAATAGAACCTGAATCAAACACAGCTCCAGCCTTCACATATCTCTCCCTCTCTCAGCATTTCAGAGCTAATTATCACTGACTGAAGAGAAACAGTCTCCAAATTAGGCCCTGCCATGAACTGCATAGAGAGGCATGATGACAAGCAAAATAGGATACGCAGTCCTTAGACACATTCATGATAGAGATAAGTAACATGACCCTCACACATTCACATTTACCAATGTAATTTAGGTGGTTCTTCATTATTCCACACTCTTGTAGTTCCCATGCTATGTTCTGCTTTCCCTCTGGCCTAATAAGAATCCATGGAACTTCCATTCTCAAGACCAGAATTACACAAAACATTCATCCTAGAATGAACTGCCAAGAAAACAACACTTCCCTATAAGCTTGATTCAGTCAGTAACATATTTAACCTCCAACCTCCTTCAGAACACTCATCCCTTGTAAGGCTATAAGAGTTTTTTTCAGTGATATACAAATTCTGACTTACTTTGGCTTTTTGGAAGAATAGACGAAAACAGCCTCTTGGATCCACGTTACAACTTCTGGCCATTTCTATAATAAACTGCATCACAAGTGCTTGGTGTGCTATTTGCTCCATCAGAGCTCTTTTCTGAAGAGAAAGTACATAATTACAGAAAATATCTTTAGAAGTATAACTCTATCTAAAATTCAACATAATCTTTGCATTTGATTCCTAAAGAGAAAAGAATGGATGCTGAGAGAAGCAAAGAGACTTAATTAGCTATGATTAGATCTAATGTAGTAATGTGTTTTTGAGGCTTCCTTCATTATGAGAAGACATGGAGAAGAGTAATTAAACTGGCTCATCAATCTGGACAGTTTTTCTGTAGTGTAAATGGGAAACTGCATACTTTTAAGCAGTTTAAAGTTCTTCCTAGTACCTGTTCAGCTTCTAGATGAAAACACCACAAGATGAGATATTTAGCTGTTTCTTCACATACAAGATATGGGTGATCAGACAAAAATCTTTGACTGTCATCCCATCTGCCCAGCATGCCTAATTAAAAAACACAACATTAATTAATGCATTCAATATTTCAATGATTTAATGCAGTGAGGACATTATTGAAATTTACATACTACTACAATCTCCATGCTTTATTGATACCTTAGAAGAACTGCATAGTAATCAAACTGAGCTCAAATTTTTTGTTGTTTTTAAAACACCACACAATGCTGAAAGACCATCGCCAATCAGGTATGCACAAACTGTAAAGATACAATAAGACCTAAACAGTAGCAGCTAAGTATATTTTACTATCTCTGGAAAGTTAATTGTAAATGGTTTTCACACACTGTAACTGTCCTAGGGTGACGTTATGATGCTTGTATCCCCAACTGTGTGTTCTGTTTATGCTGGATATTATATTCTGTGCCTTCAAGACTGGCTCTGAGAGCAAAGGTGGGGAGAAGAAGCACAGAGTTTTGTTATCAGCCTGTACTCATTCCTCCACATTCGGCTGGAACACAGAACTCCACTGTGTTGTCTGGGCACAGATGGGTCAGGACACGGCCCTCCTTTAAGTTAGTTTAGCTAGCTGAGGCAGAGAAGTTTTCCCTGGTCAGGTTTTCTTTCCCTTTTCTTGAAACTGTTTGAACCTGCTCCAGACTGGGACCCAGGGAAACACCAAGACTTTGTGGCCTGCCAGGGCCTACTCTGGGCAGCAGCCTTTCCCAGAGCTGGAGGGACTGATAACAGAATGACCACCCACCAGAGAGATTTTCTAAATTTGTCATCTCTTCAAAGTGGCAAATGAGTTTTGTCATCTGGTGTTGTTCATTTTTTGTGCTGGGGAGTGCTTTGCCTGTTTAAATAAACAGGTTTTTTCCACTTCTCTCTGAGGAAATTTTTCCTGAACCAGTTGGAGGGAGGGGCTGTGTGGGTTGGCTTTCTGGAGGGGACCCTTTTGGAAGCTTTCTCCCAAATTTGCCCTAAACCAGAACAGTAAAAAAGTAGTATCTATCCATATTTGTTAAGAATTTGATAGCATGCCTAAGTTGATGGATGTACACTCAGTGATTAGACAGAAATGTTCTTAAAGTTCCTGCAAATAAGACAAATAGAAATTAAAATTTAATCATAATCTAAAACTAATATGCTTCTGACATGGTTTGCCAGGTTTTAGGAAATACAAAGCTATTTTTATAACCAAGTTCTAGCATTAAGGTCAAAACAGGAGACCGAACTCAGTGGTTGAAAGCTAACTGGAAGGCTGAATTGTAGTAAGTAGCATTGCTATGGATGAAAATTAGTCCAGCCAAATAAAAATAAAAATTTTATTTAGGATCGAATTCTCTCTGAGCCAGCCACAAGGAAAAAGGACAGTGCCGAACCCAGGATTGGCGCTGGGTGCGTGACAGGAAGGATGCCTCTCGGCAGAGGTTCCCCTGGACACACACACCGCCCTCTTGGACCCTGCAGTTCTTATAGGAAATTTTCTGCCTGAGGCTAGGATTTCAGCCATCCGCCTTTTCTTTCTATTCAGAGTCACACGTATTCATAAAGTTATTTTCTCAGAGTCTAGCTTGAACAATCGAAGTCCAGGTGTGGATGATTTCCCTGGTGAAGTTAGGGGAACTGTGGCATTCAGATGTATCAGCCCCGAGGACTCCAGCGATCCCAATTACCAGGATGATCAGCGCCTAGGCTTCCAGTATCGCCCTTTGGAACAGCCAATCTCCGGGCCAGCCACATGTATTAAATTGTAAATGAGGCTTTATCCAAGAAAACCGGTTCTGGTGTAACCAATATGTGTGTGGGGGGGGCAGCTCACAGTGCTGGTGCGTGTGTTTTGCAATAACAAAATATTATACATGCCAAATCATATTTCCCTTGATCAAATACAACAATATTACATTGGCACAAATTATAACCAACATACATATCAGCATGAAACTACCTTAATGGAAAGAGCTGCAGGTTGAAAGGCAGAATTCAAAATTTAAGCAGTGAGATCACCTTTCCCCTCTTCTATTGTCCTTTGCATGCGTTAATTTCCCTAAAATATATATTAGTGATATTTCACTGCTTGCCAATACTAGATACAAAGTTTTACCCTTCTATCACTCATATAAATATATCTTTAAAATTAAAAGTGGTTGCATCTCTATATAGTCTTAACAGCTGTTTTGCAGGTATTTGCCCTTTATCATTCATCCCCCTCATATATTACGAGACAGTAAAACTCCACCTACTTACAGGAGGCAGGTACAGACAATCCCAGGTATTTTACATGCAAGAATTGCATCTCCACTAATGCCCTTATCATTTCCCATGGAACAGCAGAAGAAGTTGCTAGAATTTAATTTTCATGGCTTTAAAAATGTTTTCAGTTCTATATTGGTGCAAGAAATTTTCATTGATCATAAGAACTGAAAGTCTTTTGTGATTTAGTTTCCTTTACTTTGAAATGTTTATTTGTTATAATGCTTCATCTCCTGCCCTGAGAAAAAAAGAGTCTAGATACTCTACTTGACAGATGTTTCATTTGTTAATACCTGTTTTGAATAATAATAATAATAATAAAGAAATAAATAGACCTCAACAAATTCTACAGGTGGTTAAACTGCAAAATGTTGGAAGGAACATACTTACCAAAGTATCTAATCTTTTGTTCATGCTTCTGCATAAATGATTTATATATATCTTCATCTTCTTCATCTTCTTTTCTTTTATATTTACTAATAAAACTCTAAAGATGAGAAAAAACCTATCATAGAATCTCCACATTTACCTTTTTGAACTACAGGATTATTTTAATTCATTGCTATCTAAAGTGCAATGTTCTAGTTTTAAGCATAGCCCAGCAAACACATATGTAGCCAACACTTAATGTACCTATGAAGGTTATTTACTAAAACATAGCTTGTCTAATTAATAATAGGATGAAAAACTACTTATCATACTCTTCTTCTAAGCAACAATCTATCTCAAAGTTCTACACACTAGTAGGAACTTACTGATCTATAAATTATGAGAAACATCTATACAGTCCAGTCACAATGAAGCTAACTCAGTGGAATTATGAAAAATGATGCATTAATGATTCATATTCAAATTAAGTGCTGAAAACAAAACTGGAATTTACTATGAAGGCAGTTTGTGGTAAAATAATCTTTATTAAGAAATTCATGTTCTCAGAGGTCAATTGTGCATGTTTCAAATGTGAGAATTTGGCATAACAAAGAAGCAAATTTCATGTGAAGAACAATTGCTCATCCTTGTTTTTGGCAGCAGTTGCTAGAAGGGACAAATAAAATTTCTGATTCCGAATTAAAGGAGAAGTGTCACACATATTTGTGATATCAGTGTAACATGTCCCCTTTAAAAGGGCAAAAAAGAAGGAAAAGCATTCAAGACATTACAGTAAGCACTGCACTAGAGATAGAAAACACACAAGATGAGAAATAAATGAAATATAAAAGGCTTATAATTGTGTTCATACAAAATTATATTACATACCTTATTAAATACCTCCTTACTAAAATAATTTGTATTCCATAGATTCTGTCTTTCCCTCTTTATTAGGGCTGTTTCTTTTCTCTTCCATTCTTCTTCTCTTTGTCTCAGTTCTGAAGCTTCAGTCTGTGCTTTGGCATATTCCTGATCCATGGATTCTGAATTATGCAGTGCTAAACTACCAAGTTTCTGCTGGGCTTCTGTTAGATTCCATTTGGATTCTATGGAAATCTTCACAAATTCTTCTTGCTTTTGACAGATTAATTCAATCCCTTGATCATAGTTCTGTGTACAAAACAAAACATGCTGTTTGAGGAAGGAAAACTGATAGAATTGATGAAGCATATAGAAACAGAAGGCTTTGACTCCCAAATAGAACACTGAGATGGAAGGGTGTTCGGGGGGCTGAGGGGAATAGGCGCATCAGTTGGCCCCCAATGGGGGTTTGCTAAAAGCCCACGCAGGAGCTGGAGCCCTTATGTTAGGGGACTCAAAAGCTCTTTGGAAAAGTCAACTATCCTGTTCTGTTGCTTCAGCTGCTTTTGAGTGGCTTTGAGTGACAGGGATAGGTCGGGAGCTCGCCTGAGCGCCTCAGGCGAGCCGGCTAGAGCTGAGACCCCAGACAATTCCACGCACGACCGCACGGTTCAACAGGATTGGTAAGAACCCCCTTCGTTTCGTGTTTCCTGGGTACGTGCCTAGCTGGGAGATGGTTACCATAGTGACTGCGGGAAGCTGCGAGCACGGGTAAGCTGGGACCCAGTGCACGCAGCTTGGAACGGGCCGGCTTGTGTATCACAGCGGAGAAGCCGCTCCGACCGAGAGAGCCTGCGTTCCTGGGGTGGAGAAGCCACGAGTGGGGTATCTAACCCTGGGAGGGCGGCGGGAAACCTCCGTACCCCAGGGGAGCCGATCAAAAGAGCAGGAGCTGCCCCGGCGGTAGCGAAGCATGCGCCCCCCCCCCCCTCCCGGCCGATTCCCATGCTTGCTAAGAGTGGGGAATTCAAAAATTCGTGCTGTGCTTTAGAGTCTGGTGGTAGATAGTGCACCGATACGATAAAAAAAAAAGGGTGCAGAATTATTGGTGGACCAAAAGAGCACATTAAAACACCTTAACAATATTTTAACCAATCTTGCATTCCCAAATAAGCTTCTACTGCGTTTCGTATGCTGGCTAACAAAGGAAATACCAAATTTCACTATGCAAGACATTACTTCAATCTGATTTTGGGACCAAATTGGACAGATATTCACTTTAAAAGTTGAAAATAGTGAACATAAAGCTTCTCTATTTATTCCGATGTTTTTACAAGCTCAAAAAGAGATTTTAGAAGCAGAAAAAAAGCATACAGACACAGACTAACAGTCCGACTAACCCTTTTTGCCATCCCGATGCACCCCCCCCCCCCCCAATACCCTAGCCCTGATATCGCTTTACCCACCCTGTATCCCCCTGTAACACCTGGTTCTTCTGAGAAATATAGTCCGGACTTCTCCAAAAGTGAAAGGTTCTCTTCCCAGAGCCCTGGGGATGTGGCATGATCTCTGAGACCGGCAGACCACATACTCCAGACTAATGGCGGCGGCCATGGGCTTTTGCCTTCTTCCCACAATTCTTCCCACAATTCTTCCCACAATTCTTCCCACAATTCTTCCCGCAACCCTTCCCCGCCTCTGTAGCACCACCCCACCCCCCTTATCAACACCTCCCTCCGAGTTGCCAGGGAAACTGGGGAGGAGCCGGCCCCTCCGCAGCTCCCAGCCCGGGCTCTGCGGGGGGACAGGGAAGCCATCAATTTTCTGAACTGTTCATTTGAAAACATGAGTCCACCAGTGGTACGTCACTTTAACAGCGGTAATCAGTTCAAATTATCTCAGCGTCCACCTGTTATAAGCGAAAATTTGTCCAGCCAAATTAATATGAAAAATAAATTATTTATTTTGCAATCAAATTTTATCTAGCCAGCCACAAGGAAAGAACAGAGCCGAGCCCGGGGTCGGCCCTGGGTGTGCAACAAGGAGTCAGCCTCATCAGAGGTTTTCCTCTATGCCCACACACCTCCATCCTGGCACAAGCGAGTTTTATAGGGAAAATTTCGCCTGAGGCCAAGATTTTTGCAATCAGTCCTTTCTTCTATTCAGAGTTCATATGTTAATAATTCAGTGTCCGGAGTTGTTGAATCCCGTGATGAAATGTACAGGAACGCTGCATTCACATGTATCTGTCCGGGGATCTCCAAGATATCCATCTCGGGTCGTTCAGGCAAACGATCAGCACCTGGGGTCTCCCGCAGCTTCTAGACATGGCCCATCTCCTGGCGAGCCGTATCTTCTTACTTGTAAATCAGTTTCCAATCTACACCCGGTCTCACCTGCGCCTGTGAGGGTCGGGGGGGGGGGGGGGGAATCCTAATACAAACATGCATACTCTAACAAATATTCAATATCACATATATCATATTAGAAATGGCGCAAATTATATCTACTACACATAACAATCCCCCACCTTTTATAATAACCTATTAATTTGCGCCCTAATTTCTACCTCTACTGAATCCCAAGATTTCTTTATTTTTTATTCCCTTTCATTTATTACATCTGGAATTTCTTAGTAAATTTTATAGTTTTGTTTTTTACCCTTTATTCGTCTTATAAATTTTGCTAGGGCTTCAGCCGCCCTGCTGTGAGGAATTTCTTCTCCTAGTGTCATTATTTTTAGTACCTGATTTGTTTTTTCTAGGGCAGCTTCTGTCTTTTTACCTCTTGCATTACTTGTTTCATCTTACTTTTTGGATCCATCCATTTTGTCCTTGGTAAAACAGAACATCTTATCATACTGTAGACAAACCCTGTCGTCCTGGTCCCCTAAGAGGTCTAGGATGATTGGCTCAGTTTCTAGAGGTACCCTGTTTTCATACTTTAGGTTATTTCCCACACAGTAGGTTTTTTTTCCCCCATTATACATATACTAATTTTATTCGGATCATAACATACTGGTTTAGCTTGGAAATAAGCAACAAAGACAGATTCTTGCTTTCCCCTAACCTATACAGTACGATCGCATTTGTTACAAACTGGAATTGAAACTTCTCTTGTGCTCCTTCGATGTAGTTTATGAGCTGACTGTCCGATTTCAAGGTATGTTTTCGATTTCTCTTTGAATTTGTACACCCCCTGTTGAGTGTTAGTGTCAAGACAACGTTTATTAGGCTTACCCCTGCTGCAGTTCTATGAGGTAGGAGGTGATTCCTCTGGGTATCTGCTACCAGGTTCTCCCTTCCCAGTATTGGGGAGGTTACTGAGGCATGAGGCTAGGCTCAGGCTCGCCCAGACTAATCCCACTGCTAGGATCCCTCTGCCGTTCCCAGTGCCCACTGGGGTGCGTCCAGCGGCGGGGTAAATTATCTTCTTGGCAGCAGGAATCTTTGTCTGTGGTTTCATACTAAGGCCGAGCCGCACACCTTTGTTTAAAATGCCTCACTGGTGTAGTCTGCACTGTGAGGTACGTTGTTCGACCTATGACACTCAACAATAACAATTTTAGTTTTTGTTTGTAATTTCTCCCTTAATTCCTTCTGATATGAGAGGAAAAGAAGAAAAAAACCTAAAACTTAGATTATTTAATCTAATTAGAACAATCTTAGCCTTGTGGCTATTTACTAGAAAACGGCCAGTCAGGTCTTCCTCCCGCTTAACACACTTCCCAAACAACCTACTTTGTTTAATTCAATAATGAACAGTTCAAACTTTATGACAGTATTTGCAAGGGAAATGTAGGAGAGGATAATAGTTACACTCTGGCATAGAACGCTTGATAGATGTGCTCAGTTATTTACTTGGCCACTTTAGGGTTATCTTCAAATCTCCGAGGGGGGGAGGTGATTTTCCACTCTGGTGCCTGGTTTTGGAGATCGACCTTTTTTACCCTTGACGCGTGTGTCCACCCCTTTTCTGCAGTTCGTATAGCAGTATCTGTAGTTAAAAGAACAAGAAAAGGTCCCTCCCATTGAGGCGTTAATGGGGCTTCCCGCCAGGTTTTCACAAGCACCCTGTCTCCAGGTTGTATTTTATGTATCGGAGAAGCCAAGAGGGCTGTTTTGCATAATTACCCCCTGCTTTCGCAATTCTTCAAGATTCTTATTTAATTCTACTAGATATGGTTGTATTTGTTTATCCTCTAATTTTGGATGCCCTACAGGCATACCATGGGTATAAGGCATCCCATATAACATTTCAAAAGGTGAAAGTCCCGTCTCGGAATGAGGCATAGTTCTTATATTTAATAAGGCTAATGGGAGGCGTTTTATCCATGACATTTTTTGTTTCTAACATTAATTTTGCTAATTGGGCCTTCAATGTTTGATTTATTCTCTCAACTTTTCCTGAACTTTGAGGGTGCCACGGGGTGTGGTATTCCCATCGAATGCCCAAAGCATCTGCCAATAGCTTGATGATCTTTGATGTGAAATGTGTGCCCTAGTCTGAATCAATGTAGCTTACTAACCCATAGCGTGGTATAATTTCTTCTAATAAGGTTTTGATACTGTTTGGGCTGTAGCCCGGGAGCTTGGGAAAGCTTCTACCCAGTGGGTTAGCTTGTCCACCATGACTAATAAGAATTTGTGTCTCCTGACCTTGGGTAGTTTAGTGAAATTTACCTGGATCCTTTTAAAAGGCCGGTAAGGTGCTGGACGACTCCCCATTAACCTTTGGGAGTTTGCACAATTTTTTTTTTTTTTTTTTTTTTTTTTTTTTGCAAGTTATGCACCCTTGCACCTCTTGTTTAGCCAATTCATATATACCTTTGCAGCCAAAGAATCTTAGGAATTGCTCTGTCAGAGCTCGGGCCCCCCAGTGTGTTTGTTGGTGTAATTTTTTAAAAATCTTCTTAGTGTATTCCTTTGACAACAATTCCCTCCCACCTGGTAACTTCCACTTACCTCCTTCTAACTGTCCCCCGATCTTCTGATAAGCCTCTATCTCCGTTTCAGAGGGGTGGGGGGGGAATTCCTGAGCATCCCCTTTTTCAATCTCTGGGGTATTTACCTTTAGCAAAGCAGCGCTTTTTGCCTCTTTGTCTGCTAAATTGTTCCCCCGAGTCCTGAATTGCCTTCCGGTTTGGTGTTCTTTTACATGGACTATAGCAATAGCTTCTGGCCCTCTAATGGCTTTTAGGATTTGTTTAATTATTTCTTCATGAATCAATCCCTTTCCTCGTGTGTTTAGCAGACCTCTTTCTTCCCAGATTTTCCCAAAGGTGTGCACCACCCAAATGCATATTTGGAATCAGTGAAAGTTGTCCCCTTTTTCCCTTCAAGTCCCAGCAAAGCCTTGTATATTGCATACAGCTCACATCTATAAAGAGCTGGAAGAGCCTTTTTTTAGGTCAGGGAGACTTAATACTGGAGCTGCCATGAGGGTTTCTCTTTTAATCTTCTGTAGTTCTTTTCATCCTTTTTAGTCCACTTAAGTCTGTCTATGGTAAGTTTGTCATATAAAAACCTTACCTTTTCACTGTACCCTTCGATCCACTGTCTGAAAAAAAAAACCCAAAAGCCCCAGCAATTTCCTGATTTCTTTTCGGGGGGGGGGGGGGCAATGTAATTATCCTGACTTTCCTCAACTAGAGGACAAGTCTAAAAAGGCATCCTTTAGGTCAATTACACTATAATAGAGTATAAGGATTAGAGACCGTGGGTAACTGCTATCAGGTTTTGTATTGCTAATGTAGGTGTGTTATGTCTGGACATGCGGGGTTCTAAGGTGCCCCCTTTTTTTTTTTAAGTCCTCGATTATTGGTTTCAATCCCTTCTTCTCTCTAGAGAGATGGGATACTGCTTTACCTTATGGGGTCTTCTGGTCTCTTAATTTTAATGTGAATTGGTTTCATGTTTAATTTTCTAGCTTCCCCCGGAGTGTGCAAGACCCTGGGACTAATTTTCTTTTTATCTTCGGTAGTTAGGTTGTATAAACTTAACAACCATGAGTTGTGAGTCTTTTGCAATTATACCTATTCCTAATATTACCATTGAATCCTTCCCCAATAAATTGTATTCTGTTTCTTCCACTAATAAAACATCCCCAACACAGATTTTATTATCTGATTCTATTTCTACATTCCTTAGAACGGGGACTTGAAAGGGCTCCCCTTTAGCCCCAATCACAGTCATGAAATCCTTACCTTTGATACATCCAGGGGGCAGTCTTTGAACTTTGGTTCTTTCTGCTCCAGAATCAACTAAAAAGACTAGCTCCTGTTTTTGGGGTCCAACTTTTAATTTTATCAAGGGCTCTCTCGATGTCCGTGACCCCAAATTATAAAGCCCCTGACACCTCTATTCTTCTTGAAAGACCTTTTCATCCTTTATTCGTTTCTTACAATCCCTCTTGAGGTGTCCTTTCTTTTTACAGTAAAAACATTCAGGGGCACTTACCTGTTTGTTTTTCTTTTGGGTGTGTGCCGGTTTTCCCTGGGGGACCCCGGGCCAGAGCTGATGTCCCAGACGTTTGTGCTTGTGCTTCCCTTACTGCTGCCACTAACACCCTGGCCTGCGTTTTTGTTTCTCCTCATCCCTTCTCATATACACCTTTTGTGCTTCCCTCAATAGTTCCTGTAAGCTCTTCTCTTGCCAATTATCT